AGCACGTTCTGTTTGGTGGGTGAGCATGAAGCCGTCTGCTGCAGCAGCGTCAGCGTGCGGCGGTGCCTGGTTCGGCAGAGTCACGGTGATGGTGGCTCTTCTTTTACAGGATTTTACAGCTCTTCCTGCCCTCTGGGAGCACCTTCGTGTGCACGAGTGGGATTGAGGGACACAGAGGAGCCGTGTCTGTACCTTCTGGTCACATCACCGGCCACTCCTGTCTAAAATGCGCTTGGTGTTTTCACGCGAGGCTTCAAGATATTTATCCCAGTCCTGTTTCCAGTAATGTGATTCCTCACCCATAACATCCAAATTGCATGTTTGAAAATTGGTGGGGATGGAAAACTAATTCTGAGCACACCTACAACTCCACCCTTACTCAGCAAGCTGCTCCTAAATGCTGCCCCTTGTTTGTGCCACAGCGATGGGGATCGCTGTGCCTGCGGATCTGGAGACGGCCATGGAAAGCCTGGCAAACCACACATGGCTATTAAGTTGGATATAGTCACTGATGTGACTCAGCTGGCATTAATTTTTGTGGCGCATTTAGCATTAATCATTTCCAGTTTTAACTAACATCAGGGAGTGATTCTTTAGAGGTTACTTAAAGGGATAATCAAATGATATATATTTATATATTTTAAAAAAAGAAACTGGCTATATTTTACCTGCTATACTGCATCTCTTTTATTTCTCATCTTTTAATCTTTAATATTCACTCTTCTTTCTCACCATGGGAAAGTGAATGTGAAAGTATTTGGTGAAAGGAAAAAAGTAAAAATGTGTGTTTTAAAACTCTAAATTACCAGAGTTTGTATTGCGGCACTGTTAGGCTTCTGATCCTGTGATTGACCACCTTATGTTTCTTACTGCCTACCTGCTCTTTGTGCTTTAGGCTCAGGCTGCCTGAACAGGAATTTGTTATGCATGGTTGTTTTTTTTGAGGTTTTTATGGCAACCAGACCAGCTTTTGTATTCTCTGTTTCAGCTTCTCCAAATAGGTTGCTTTCTGCAATGTGTTGTTTCCATAGTACTCTTCTCTCTGAAAGCATCAGTGTCTGTGGTACTTAGCATCTCCAGTCTGAGGACCAGGCAGTGCCAAGTAAAGGAAGCGAGCTTACCGTGTGTGCTGTGGATTCCTTGCTTGTGTATGAATATCCTTATCTACCTCAGCAAAACATTTACTTTTTATGTACTGATCCCAAGGAGAACTCAGTTTCTCACTAGACCAGAATGCTCCTATTTTGCATGCAATCAGTGCTGCATATGCTTGTGTCTTTTTATTTTCATTAACAAATACAAAACCTGTAGTTTCCCTAAGTATTTATATGCCAGCAATTAAATATTTAATCCATTTAAGACTTTTCTTTGTTTTGGTATGGTTGAGGTTGTGGATGCTGATGGAACGTCTGCGTGCAGTGGGACTCGTGTTTCTTAGGTGCCATGTGGATGTTTTTTTGATTCATCTCAAAGGTTTTTGTTGCCAGCTAATGCATCTGGGTAACTGCTGTGCTCAGTCTTCTCGGGCAGCCTGTGGCTAGATTCTTTCTTCGGGTAGTTTTCTTGAGTTAAGATCTGCAATGGATATTGCATAATAAAGGAAAAAATGCACACACATCGAAGACTTGGATATGAAGATGGCTGGAAGGATTATTTTTAATGTTGCTTGATTTCTTTTTTTGTTTGTTTGTTTTGTGTTAAGATTTCTAAGGTGTGAGAAACCAAGGGAGGTTAAGTTAGCCCGTTGTTTGTTGATGGGCGTGCTAAGGGTTGTTAATAGTGAGTGGTTTCATCAGTCCAAAAGGTTTAATTAAGCACGCCTGTAAAAGGGGTTCTTACTTCAGCATGGGGCTTCAGAAACCTCTCAGGGTTGTTGTGGCAGACCTTATTTTTTGTTTTCCAAGGTAGATATACTGAAAGAAACTGATTAGCAACTAGATTTGTCACCTGGTGGGAAGGCAAAGGTCACTACTGAGCTACACGTGGGTGTTTTGCTGGGGTAGCAGTTCTCAGTTTATAGTCGTTGCAGAGATGTGGGTTCATCCTCAGGGGGTAGGTGCTGTCTTGCAGATGTTTCTCTCAGTTTTGCCTGTTGCTGTCTTTGGTATCTCGCTCATAACTTGGTAAGTTCCTTTGTGAAAGATTTCTTTTCTTCTTCTTTGTAACTGCAATATGTAAAGTTTCAAATATAGGATATGGCAGTCATTCACCTCTGGTCATTTGGTTCTTCCAAAGTAGCTTAGCTGAAAATATCCAAGATTTCTGGAAGTGTAACTTTTTCAAATATGTTTGACCTGATCTACATTACCATGATTAAGAAGAACAGCAAAGACTGAAGTAGTTATTGTCTGAGGTACGAGAGGTATAAAAAACAGAAATGTGTTGACTGTCTTTAATATTTAAAGAACGGGAGGGAGAACAAGAGAATGAACAGCTTCATTTTGAGTTTCTGAAAAAAATCTTAGAACAAAGTCAATTTGTAAGCATCTAGACCATAATAGATGAGTAAAGCCAACATGGGTTTGTCAAAGACAAATTATAAATGTAATCTAAACTCTTTTCTTAATAGACTAGCAGGTGAATTATATATGAGAAGAATCGCTTGATGTCCCATGTTTGGATGTTGATTCTGTTTCTCATGATGTTTTTGTAGCCAAGCTAGGGAAGTTTGGGAACTATTGGTACATGGAAAGGCAAAGCTACATGAATAAGGTCAGCTGCTCTGCTGTATTTTCAAAGCTTCCATAGTGAAGTTATGTGGTTATTAAAACTGAAGAGAACACAAAGCTCGGGGGGATTACAGACGTGTTTGAGTGTGTTAAGGAAATCAGGGTGCCTTGAAGATTCAGAGAAGAAGCATATGGCAGGGAGGGGATACGAGTCAGGGGAGTTCTGTGGCAGATGATGCCAAAGCAGGAGTTATCAACTACCCAAATACAGGGTGGAAGACAGTGTTGTGGTTGTTAAGGGTGAAGAATTTGGGAATTTAGTGACCCTCATGTTGGTTATAATTTTCTTTGTATGTTTCAGTAAGATGTGTGAAGCAATTTTAGCCTCATTTCAGTGCTCCTGAGGCTATAGGTGGAATATTGTGTGGTTTCCAGACAGCTGTAGAAGCTGGGGAAGAGTGTCAAGGCGAATAGTAAGAAAGTTGCAGAAAATGAGAAAGATTCAAGTAGTAATTATATTCGTTTCCAAAATGAACAGTGTGTTAATAAGTCACTTTCATGCAAAATTAGAAAATAGTGTTACAGTATTACAGTTTAACCTGAGATTTCTGGTTAAAGCTGTGTTGGAGTCCACCTCAGCGGGTCCTTTCTTTGCACAGGCACCTTATTCTTTTCAGAAATGAAATGCTGTGTAAAAGCCATTGCAGAGTTGCCAAATTGCTTTAACTGTTTGGGAATTAATTGTGAAAGTAGTAAGTAGCAAATCTTCAGGGATATATGACAGAATTATCGTCTAGCATGTCCTTTAGGACTTGCCAGTGTTGCAAACCTGTAACCTCTTAACTAGAAATAAGGCAGTTTTCACTTAGATCTCTCATCCATCCATGTCTGCTACACACTATCCTGAGAGATTAGTAAATGAAATGGTTTATTTCAAAAAACTTTGAAGAGGTTTAAAATTAATTGAGGGAATCACTAGTGGCAGTGTTTATTTTAAAACTGAATTTCTAGTTAAAAGTGAATGCATTGAAAATGCAAGCGGGAAAGCCATAGTAAAAACTTTTTTCAGTTCCATCAAACCACCTAAAATGGCAACTTAAATGGGCAGTCTAGCCTGTCCGAATAGAAGAGCAAACA